CTGTTATCCTTACTGATCATTGTGTTTACCATACACACAAAATGTACTCCTTGTCTCTGGCTATGCATGCCACTTTAACAATGGAATTGGCTGCGTTTTGGAAAACAGGTAGCACCTGAAAGAGTTCAGCTTCGCTTTCCACCCTTTTTCTCTTTATCCTCCTAGTGTTGCCCACACCTCTTTCTATGTCAGCACCAAGTAGATGGACTACCTATTCTTGTTATTTTAAATTTTTTTTCTTCAATTACTGCTTAAATTTCTCTTTGAATTTCACATAGGCTTCTAGCAGTGGTATTGGATATTCATCAGCTACTATACATTGTCAGTGCTAACAATGACATACAATTAAACTTTTCACCATTTTTTAGTTTTAAACACAGTGGTGATATTTGCTCAAGTGTAAATAATTTACAGCTAATATTTACAGGGCTTGTGCTGTGTGCAAGGCACCATATCGAAGGTTTTATAAGAAGTCTCTCACTTAACACTCTCAGCCACATGAGATTTGGGTGTTATTGTTACCCTAGTTTACTAGTAAGGAATGACAATTTATTCTGGCATTTTTATGGTTGCTTTTATAATATCCTATATGACAATTTTTACATTGCTTACAGGTTTTTAGGCCAAACTTAAGTTGAGGAAAGTCAAAACGAGTGGAAAATATCGTAAGGATAATATACTTTCAACATATGACTACGGGTATGACAGCACAGAATTTCCAACCAATAATACTTATGTTTGATTTCAAATGAAAAGGGTCACTTATCCAACAGCTGCTGTCACTAAATCTACTTTAAATATTTAGCCATCATGCATAGCAAATTACCATGTTAATTTAATAAAAGAATGGCCAGTGAGTGGGTGAACAAATACCAGCATCAGAAAAAGCAGGATCTTTAATATAAGCTGGTGGCGTCTGACCACCTGGCGTTAGTCATTAACGGACTCACCACAGCTTGCTCGAATAGTTCTCTCAGCTTCTGCTCAGACTCCCCGGATACTCCAGACACAATCTCTGGGGCAGCCACTTTCAAAATTGGCAGGTCAAGTTCCTATGCAGACACATAAAAGAAGAACTAAATATTCCAATTTTAATTTTCCTACTTTTTCTTTATCCAGTGTCCTCACATTTTTTAAATAGCTAGTTTCCTGAGGAACTTCATCTTTTTATGTTGGCCCAGAGAAAAACACTATTTAAAAATCAATGGTTTTGGCTGGGCGCAGTGGCTCACATCTGTAATCCCAGCACTTTGGGAGGCCGAGGTGGGTGGATCACCTGAGGTTGGGACTTCAAGACCAGCCTGACCAACATGGAGAAACCGTTTCTACTAAAAATACAAAATTGGCCAGGCGTGGTGGTGCATGCCTGTAATCCCAGCTACACAGGAAGCTGAGGCAGGAAGCTGTGGTGAGCTGAGATCACACCATTGCACTCCAGCCTGAGCAACAAGGGCGAAACTCCGTTAAAAGAAAAAAAAAAAACCAATGGTTTTATGCAAACACGTTTAAGTGGATACTATCATCTTTTTATTTTATACATGTCACTATAAAATTCTATTATCTTTTCTGAATAAAGGCTCTTGACTCTCAAGAGATATATATGTTATCCCCCACTTAGGGCTGAGCCAAAGCAATTCTTTGTTTTGTTTTGTAGAGACTGTGTCTCACTATGTTGCCCAGGCTAGTCTAAAACTCCTAGCCTCAAGCAGTCCTCCTACTTCAGCCTCCCAAAGTGCTGGGGTTACAGGAGTGAGCCACCATGCCTGGCCTATCAAAATAATTCTTACCCATCTGCTGAGGAGAAAATAGCAAGGGCTGTGACACAGATGTTTCCCACGCATCCTGCTAGTATTTCTCCAAATCCTAACCCAGAGAGAAGCCAGTTATTTGTCAGAGGAGGGAGACTCTTTAAGAAAAGACCAGGCGTGGAGGCCCATGCCTGTAATCCCAGCACTTTGGGAGGTCCAGGTGGCAGGAGTGCTTGCGTCCAGGAGTTTGAGACCAGCCTGGGCAACACAGTGAGACCCCATCTCTATAAAAAATAATAAATTAGCCAGGCATGCTAATGCATGCCTGCAGTCCCAGCTGCTTGCAAGGCTGAGGCAGGAGGATCACCTGAGCCTGAGAGGTCGAGGCTGCAGTGAGCTGTGATCATGCCACTGTATTCAGCCTAGGCAAGAGAATGAGAATCTGTCTTAAAAAAAAAAAAGAGAAGAGAAACTAATGTTGTCCCATTCCTGTGCTTGAAATTTCACTTTCTCAACCATATCTTTGTTGAATCCAACTCTAATTTGGGAATCCCAACATACCACATAGCATTCGGTACTTCTTGTCTTGTCTCCACTTGTTACAGTTGTTACTATGTACAGCATTTGTTTATATCAATGCCTGTTTAATGTCTCTCATATTAGAACTAGAATTGTCGTACTTAATACTATATTCCAAAGTCTGGCACGCAGTAGTCATGTCATAGAATTATTCAACAAAAATGAAGCAAACCAATCAAGTCTCCCTTTACAAATGATTTTTTTTTTCATAGAACATTATTGTATTAATGCTTGGTATAGCATGCTATTTTTCTTTCTTTGTTTTTGAGATGGAGTCTTACTCTTGTTGCCCAGGCTGAAGTGTAAGGGTGTGATCTTGGCTCATGGCAAATTCTGCCTCCCAGGTTCAAGTGATTCTCCCACCTCAGCCTCCTGAGGGGATTATAGGCATGCGCCACCACACCTGGCTAATTTTGTATTTTTAGTAGAGACGGGGTTTCTCTATGTTGGTCAGGCTGGTCTCAAACTCCTGACCTCAGGTGATCGGCCTGCCTCGGTCTCCCAAAGTGCTGGGATTACAGGCATGAGTCACCATGCCCAGCCAGCATGCTATTTTCCTAATTGAAGTTACTCAGATATTTTACATCACTGCCCAATACAGCTTCTGAAAAATCAGAGAGGGCTAAAAGAAGATTGCTAACTAAATTTTACAAAATAAGTGTCTATTATTACTGTTTTAGAAAGAATTATTTTAAAACTAAAAAGTATAAAAACATAACTCTAAATAGAAATTCTGAATAAATTTAGCTGTACGACAAGTAATATAACCCTAGTTTCCTTGTTTTACTGCTCCTAAGAACCACTGGGAGCGCAGGTGCAGTGGCCCATGCCTGTAATCCCAGCATTCTGGGAGACTGAGGAGGACTGCTTGAGGCCAGTAGTTTAAGACCAGCCTAGGCAACATAGAGGGATTCCGTCTCTACAAAAAAAAAAAAAACACCACCCAAAACATTAGCTGGGCGTAGTGGTGTGTTTGCGGTTCCACTACTTGGGAGGCTAAGGTGGAAGGACCACTTGAGCCTGGGAGGTTGATGCTGTAGTGAGCCATGATTGCACCACTGCACTCCAACCTGGGCAACAGTGAAACTCTGTCTTAAAAAAATAAATAAAACAAGATAACTATCGGGCCAAAGGGAAAGCGAAGTAACTAAAATGTAAGCTATGTGTTAATAAAAATGTTAGTTTGAAACTGTATTATTTTACTTTCTACCTAACTCTTGCCATATACAATTACATACCTTAAAAATAAATCCCTCAAGTTGCTCATGAGAAGCAAAAAATAAACCAAATGAATGAATACCACAAACAATACCAGCATGATAACAAAGGGATCAGTTCCAACGACTATATTCTCTTCCTGAAGAATGCCAGGTCTGGTTTAAGTTGACAAAAGAGAAAAAAACAAAAACAAGTAATAACAACAAAAACAGCCAAAGCAAACAAGTGTCAGCGATCCTCACCCCAGCAATTGCATGTGCAAGTAATGTCTTTCCACAGCCTGGTGGCCCATGGAGGAGAACTCCACGAGGGGGCACGACGCCCAGGTGGTGGTACACCTCTGGGTGACGCATGTGAATGAGCATCTTGCAGACCTCCTGGCAGAGGATAAGCACAAAGACATCTTTCAAGACAGAAGAATCAAAGTAGAATGAAATGTCCTATTTTTTGGAGCAGTGAAATGGAGTAGGCAGGCAGAATATACACTTTAGACTTAGAAAAGAGTTTGAATCCTGGCTCTGGTAGCTACTGTGTGATTTCAGCACTAACCTCTCCAAGAAGCTTCTATTTCCTAAGCTGTGACATTATCTACCTTGAGGATGTAATGCAGAGTAACTAGAATGGCAGATGGAAAAGAGTAGGCATTAAAAATAAAGTTACCATAACTATTAGTACTGTTAAGACAACATTACTTATAAAGCATGGATGTTATGTACTATAATTAAAATAACAGAAAAGTTGAAAACAGTATGCATCGTTTCTCCTGCAATGCCCTAAAGGGTACAGGTCTGGTTCGCCCTTCTCAACCTTCCCAGTTTCTTCTCCTATACCCAGTTCATATTAGAAACAAAGAGGTAGGCTTTTTTTCATAACTGATGAGTAATATAGCCATTTGAGGTGAAATTCTGAATTTGCACTAACTTTTAATGTCATATCATTGCCTCCCACATCTTCAAACTTCACGTTGGAGATCCGGAATTCTAACCCCCCGGCTTTAGCTGGTAAACAAACAGGAGGAGAGGAAAAGATTAATGATTCAGTAGTAACTCACAGAATGATGCTTCCCTCAGAGCAAACATGACAACTGCCACCAACAAGACTCACACCTGACCTTTCTTTTGCAGGAGAGCTTCGATCTCTCCATCTGCTTCCTGAAGATCTTCTTTCTTCCTTTTGCTTCTTTTAATCTTTAGCCGGCCTTTCCGTTTAACATCACTCTCCAAAAGAGAAGACTCTTTTGAATCCTGGAAATAACATAAATTTATATATGCCATGCTGAAAATTCTATGCCAATAACTTTTATTTTTTAAAGAGGGGCATTATAAAGAAAATTCATTCCTGCCCTAGCATTTTCACCTCTGTTAACTATTCCCAACCTCTTTGCTCAAAGATGCTGTCTATTGGGAATGTCCTTCTCCTCATTGCCTCAAACCTCAGTTTAAATCTTAATATCTGGTGCTGGCTTTGGCAGCACATATACTAAAATTGGAACAATACAGAGAAAATTAGCGTGGCCCCTGTGCAAGGATGACATGAAAATTTGTGAAGCATTCCGTATGGGGGAAAAAAAACTAAATCTTAACATTTGAATGCTTCTTTTCCAGATTTGTACAGTTTTTCTTTTTTCTTTTTTTTGAGATGGAGTTTCACTCTTATAGCCCAGACTGGAGTGCAATGGCATGATCTCAGCTCACTGCAACCTCTGCTTCTCAGGTTCAAGTGACTCTCCTGCCTCAGCCTCCCAAGTAGCTGGGACTACAAATGCCTACCACCACACCCAGCTAATTTTTATATTATTAGTAGAGATGGGGTTTTGAGATGTTGGCCAGGCTGGTCTCGAACTCCTGACTTCAGGTGATCTGCCTGCCTCAGCCTCTCAGAAGTGCTGGGACTACAGGCATGAGCCACCATGCCTGGCCTTCTTTCAGTTAGATTTAATCTCTCTCACATTCCCAGGATACCACGTTTGCAACTATTAGTTGGCATAATCTGCCTTGTATGAGTCACTCACTTATCTCTCTCTCTCTCACTGAACTGTGAACTCCTTGAATAAGGACACTGATATTTGCCTTTTATTTCTCACTGGGTCTTCTACATGGTCATCTTCATCTGACAGCTGATGATTCACTAAATTAAATAGGACTATAGAGCTGCTTTGACAGTCATAAAAAGGATAATTCAGCGAAGCACACTGGTACACACCTGGAGCCCTGGCTACTCGGGAGGCTCAGACCACTTGAGCCTAGGGTTTTGAGACTATAATGTTCTGTGATCATGCCTGTGAAAGTGACTGCACTGAGCAATGTAGCAATATTCCAACTCCAAAAAAAACCGTGTTTTTAAGTATAATTCAGGCTGAGGCAGGTAGATCGCTTGCGCTCAGGAGGTAAAGACCAGCCTGGACAATACGGTGAAACCCCATCTCCACAAAAGTACAAAAACTAGCCAGGTATGGTGCTGAGTACCTGTAGTCCCAGCTACCTGGAAGGCTGAGGTGGGAGGATGGCTTATGCCCAGGAGGTGGAGGTTATCTAGCCTGGGTGACAAGGCGGGCTCTGTTTTCTTTTTTTAAAAAAAGCAATTCAGCATTAAGACTTGAGTTATTGCCAACCATAACTATGTTCTCTATACATGGATGATATGGATAATTAAAGCAAAGAGATTTGGAAAGGCCCATTAATAAAGGTTTTGCCAAATCAAAGAGTTTGGTTCTTAGAAACCAGCCGAAGCATCATTGTCCATGAGGAATATGTGAGCCACATATGAAATTCATTTAATTATTATTTTACTTAACAGTAACTTTGGATAACTTAACAGTATATCCAAAATACTATCATTTCAACATAGAGTCAATATAAAAAAATATTAATGAGATGTTTTACATTCTGTTTTTTCAGTAAGTCTTCAAAGTCTAATGTACACTTTAAGTTTCTAGCAATCTCAATTTGGACCGTAAATTTTCATGAGAAACACTTGATTTGTACTTAGAGTTTATAAAATTTACAGCCAAAGAAACAGATTCACATACTTAACAGAGTAGTAGATGAGACTGAAGAGAAAGCCAGGCAGCCAAATCATAAAGGTCTTTATTGGCTCACAAGACCTTTGGATTTGAGACTGAATGAAGCCACTGGAGTGTTTTAAATAGAAGAATGATAATGTGTGGTGGCTCATGCCTATACTCTCAGAACTTTGGGAGTCCGAGGTGGGTGGATTGCTCAACCCCAGGAGCTCCAGACCAGCCTGGGCAACATGGGAAAACTCCATCTCTAAAAAAGATACAAAAGTTAGCTAGGCATGGTGGCTCATGCCTGTAGTCTCAGGTATATGGGAGGCCGGGGTGGGAGGATGGCTTGAGCCCGGGAAGGAGAGGTTGCAGTAAGCCAAGATCGCATCACTGTACTCTAGCCCCAGTGACAGAGCCAGACCCAGTATCAAAAAAAAAAAAAAAGAAAAAAAAGCTATCTCTGTGTGAAGAATAAACTAGGGGAATAAGCAAGGACATAGACTCCAGCTGGAAGGCTGTTTCAATAATTAAGGCAAGAAAGAGAAAAGGCTCAGACTAGGATGGAAAGAGCAAGTAGTGCAATGTGACCAACTTCTCCATGCATTTCAATGAAAAGGCTGAAATGTACTACAACTATATCGGGCTAAAATTTCATTATGAAAATACCTGTATCTCAGTTATTGGCTTCTTAGGATTACTTTTCTCATCTGATAGTTCCAAGAAAAAACTGTCTTTCTTTCCACTTGGGGTTTTGTCAATAAACCATCCTCCCTCTGAATCTTTGGCATGAGTCTTCAAGGGAATGGAGCCTGTTTTGGAACTTAACCGTGGTGTTGAAGATGAGGTTTCTCTTTGCTCCATCTCAGGAGTATTTGAAACAGAATCAGGATTTCCTTTCCGATATAAAGACAGCAGGGAACTGTTCATGTGATTTGCTGACTGGCAGAAACATAAAATGAAACTTTAGCATAAGTTACTCAGCAGGTACTCATGAAAGTTGTGTTGCCGATAGTAATAAGTTTTCTACATTCTGTTCTCAGGAATTCTCTCAGAACGCTTATAATCAGAATATATAGGTGTTAGGCTGCGCACAGTGGCTCATGCCTGTAATCCCAGCACTTTGGGAGGCCAAGGTGGCCAGATCACTTGAGGTCAGGAGCTCGAGACCAGCCTGGTCAACAAGGCAAAAATCCCCTCTCCACTAAAAATACAAAAATTAGCTGCAACAGTGCCAGGTGCCTGTAATTCCAGCTACTTCGGAAGCTGAGGCAGGAGAATCACTTGAACCCAGGAGGCAGAAGTTGCAGTGAGTTGAGATCATGCCACTGCACTCCAGCCTGGTTGACAGAGTGAGACTCTGTCTCAAAAGAAAGAAAATAAAAGAATATATAGGTGATCACAATAAGATGATTCACAAACAAGCATTTACTATTTAAAAAGACTCTACTCCATTGCCAATTAATGGAAAACCAATTCATAACTAGTGGTTAAATAAAATCAAGTAAGTATGATTGCTTCTAAAAAATACACCAAAGAAGTATGAAATGAGCTGGTTACCAATGCGAGTCACTATTAGTCCATCAATTCAAAATTGGGGCTGGGCATGCTGGCTCACGCCCTGTAATCCCAATGCTTTGGGAGGCCAAACTGGGAGGACTGCTTGAAGCCTGGAGTTCAAAACCAACCTGGGCAACATAGAAGACCCTGTCTCTACAAAAAATTTAAAAATTAGCCAGGCATGGTGGCGCATGTCTGTTATCCTAGCTACTTGAGAGGCTGAGGTAGGAGGACAACTTGAGCCCAAGAGTTTAAGGATGTAGTGAGTTAGGACCATGCCACTGCACTCCAGCCTGGGTGACAGAGCAAGACCCTATCCCTGCAAAAAATGGATCAAATATTTTGACAATAAATTCAAAACTGATTTACCTAGGGTAAAAATAAAAAGCAAATTATAAATAATTTGACAGACAGTCCACCCTCTATATCCAAGGGTTCTGCATCCAGGAATTCAAAGAACCTTAATGAAAAATATTTGGGAAAAAAATTCAATTAAAAAAATGCACCAATGAAAAGTAATACAAATGTTAAGAAATACAGTGTAGGCTGGGCATGGTGGCTCATGCCTGTAATCCCAGCACTTCAGGAGGCTGAGATGGGCGGATCACTCAAGGCCAGGAGTTCAAGACCATCCTGGCTAACATAGCAAAACCCTGTCTCTACTAGAAATGCCAAAAATTACCTGGGTATGGTGGCACGTGCCTGTAATCCCAGCTACTCAGGAGGCTGAGATGGGCGGATCACTCAAGGCCAGGAGTTCAAGACCATCCTGGCCAACATAGCAAAACCCTGTCTCTACTAGAAATGCCAAAAATTACCTGGGTATGGTGGCACGTGCCTGTAATCCCAGCTACTCAGGAGGCTGAGGCAGGAGAATCGCTTGAACTTGGGAGGCAGAGGTTACAGTGAGCTGAGATGGCGCCATTGCACTTCAGGATGGGCAACACAGTGAGACCTGCCTGTAATCCCGGCTACTGAGGAGGCTGAGGCAGGAGAATCGCTTGAGCCTGGGAGGCAGAGGTTGCAGTGAGCTGAGATCGTACCACTGCACACTAGCCTGGGTGACAGAGTGAGACTCCCTCTCAAAAATAAGAAAGAAATACAGTGTAAAAACTATTTAAATCTTATTTACATTGTATTAGGTATTATACGTAATCCAGAGATAATTTTAAGTATACAGGAGGATGTGTGTAAGGTTATATGCAAACATGATGCCATTTTACACAGGGAACTTAAGCATTTGTGGATATTCATGTGGGGCCCTGGGGCCAATCTCCCATGGATAGTGAGGGACGACTGTATTATCTCCATATTCTTCTTTAATCAAGGCTTTTCATTACTAATGCCATCTCCTTGGCGAAAAGTACATCCTTTTCCATTTTTACTATTAATTACTCTATTCCTGTCTGCCCTTATTGCTAGCTATTCTCTTCCCTTCTTTTTCCTTGTATAACTGACTACAAACATAAATACTGGAAGGATGGTTAATCCATTACCAACACTGAACACAGAAGGTGTTCAATTATTTATTGCTGAAGATATCAAAAGTCTCTTATTCTATTCCCCTTCCTTCCTCTCTCCCTCCCTTCAGCCCTAACCCTTTTTTTTCCCTTTCTTCTTTCTTTCCTGCTCTTTTCTCTCTTTTGCAATAAGGTCTGTTACCCAGGCTGAAGTGGAATGGCACAATCATAGCTCACTGCAGCTTCAAACGCAGGAGGTCCTCCAACCTCAGCCTCCTGAGTAGCTAGGACTATGGGTGTATGCCACCAGACCCAGCTAATTTTGTTTGTTTTCTGTAGAGACAATCTTGCTATATTGCCCAGGCTGGTCTTGAACTCCTGGCCTCAAGTGATCTTCCTGCCTCCCAAACTGCTGGGATTATAGGTGTGAGCCACAGCACCTGGCTTTTTATTATATTCCTTATTGATTTTTTTTTGTTTTTTTGAGACAGGATATAGTTTTGTTGCTCAGGCTGGAGTGTAGTGGTGCGATCCCAAC